TTTTTTAACGGATTTTGTTTTGCGCGCGCGCGCGCGCGCGTGTGTGTGTGTGTGTGTGTGTTTTAATTGGAGGATGTGTGTAAAACAGCCAGCCAGTGGAAGCTGCTGGAGGGGCGCTCTGTAACAACTAGAGGTTGGAACGTGCGGTGGTGGGTAGGTTGGGAGAGAGGGGACGTGTGTTCTTGCGGCTCATTCACGTTCTTTATGGCAGAAGTCAAAGCAACAGTGACATGAGGCATTTTAAAGTGAGAGTCTGCGTTATAAACAGCGGGGCCCCCAACGGGGGAGGAAGCACACGGAGCCCCGAGGGGCCCCCCCAGCCAGCCCAGTGTCCCCCCGACCCGAGGCCGTTCCCGCAGCCCCCGCTGCCCGGCAGTCCGCTCCGCGTGCCCGACCTTTTATACGGGAACCAAGAGCGGCTGGACGCTCATTGGCCCTTGTCGGGCCCCAGGCTGGACTCCCGCCCACCCGGCCTCGCCTGGAGGGAGCACCTGGGCTGCCCGGCTCCGGGCCCGCTCCGGGGATCGGGTCTCTGCACGTAGTCCTCGCAGATGCAAGCGGGCGCCCCCTCTGACTAGCAGGGCACACAGTGTCCCCCGCCCGCGTCCGGGGGCGAGGCCGCGAGGACCCCCCCGTGCACTGCGTCTCCGTCTCCGTCGGCCCCGGCCCTCCCCTGCCGGTGGACGCCGCGGACGCTGCCAACGGCGGCTCGTCCCAGATTCTGCCGCCTGACAGATCGCTTCTCGCGGTGGGCACGGCTCGGCTCGGCGATCAGGCAGCGTCGGGGCCGGAAGGGCTCCGGCCAGATGACGGGCGTGGGGTCCGACCGGCTCGGCCTCGCATCCTCCAGCCGCCAGGGGCGCTCGTCCCCGCGCCCCGTCTTGCTTCTCTGCCCTCCCGACGGTTTAAAATCGCCTCTATGGCGCCACTGTAATTTGCATTTCTACTACTATGCGTGAAATTCAGCGTTTTTTCAACGTGTAGAGCCAATTGCGTTTACTTAACTGTGAAACGAGTCTAGTGTTTGCCGATTTTTTTCTGTCCTATTGGTGAACTATTGGGCTTCCCAGGTAGCGCTCGTGGTAAAGAATCCACCTGCAATGCAGGAGAATACAGGGAACTCAGGTTCCATCCTTGGGTCGGGAAGATCCCCTGGAGAAGGAAATGTCAACCCACTCCAGCATTCTTGCCTGGAGAATCCCATGGACAGAGGGGCCTGGTGGGCTACAGTTGATGGGGTGTCAAAGAATCAGACACGACTGAAGTGACTTAGCCCACACACATCACATAAAGTCTTCAGGGTTCATGGTGTTGATGAAAAATTAATCAGTCAAGCTACAAAAGAAATGGAACATTTTATTTGAGCCAAATTTGAGGATTATAACCCGGGAAGGACATGTCAGTAAGCTCTGAGAACTGTTCTGCCCAATATATGTCAAGGCACAGTGATACAAGGTTTTTGAGACCTTATATCCCAACCTTGAGGGTTGGACATCAAACGACTTATTGACAATTTACACAACCCAGATCTAAGTGTCATCATAGCCCCTCGGGAGATTAAGAAGGGGTTTATCTTTAAGGAGTTGTCTTGCTGATGCTGAGAGAGTATTGGTTTTCATGGTTGAGCAGGTATTTCTGCCAGTGGGGAAAGTTTGGTCGATGCCTATTGCAGACACACCATACACAAGCACAGTAGGGGAAGAAAGGGGTCCAAAGGGTAGAGAACATTTTTTGTACAAACTTTTGTCTTGCCATAGAATATGAATTGCATTTCACAACAGGAAAACTCTGTGCTTGCTCCATCAATCTTGTGGCTCTGCCACTCTCCACATGACCCAGAATAGCTGCTCTGGCTCCAACCACCACATCCACATTCCAGCCAGCAAGAGGAAACTCCTCCCACCTGGAGGACATTTCCTGGAAGTGGTGCTTCCAGTTACTTATCGTCTATCTGGTCCCCAGGCCTCACTGAGCTTCAAGGGAGCCTGGAGGTGTGGCCTTTATTTCAAGAGGTGTCATTACAACACACAAGCAGAATGCAGTGGGGGAGGCTGGCTGGTATCTCAGCAGCAGGTGCTGTAGCAGAGGCCACTCCCCACCCCACAGAACTGGGTTCTGGAAGCCTGGGGCTCAAGGATGAAGCTGGGGGCCTCAGCTGCCCAGCGATGGTGTTCCCTGGGGGGTCCCAGGAGGGGCCAGGGTCTGAGTGAGGGTGGCCAGACCTGACCCCACAAGTTCCTGGGGTGTGGGGGCGTGAACAGTCTTCCCAGCCTGGAGTCAGCCCCTGGTCTGCGGGGAGACTACTGCTTCCTCCTCCGAGACGCCAGATGTACCTGGTCCAGGAGTGGGGCGTCCACCCTACCCCCAGAGCAGGACTGGAACGGGCCAGGAAGACACACCTGGGATGGAGGGCCCCACAGAGGGCGTGCAGGGCTGCAAGGATCCCTGCCCGCTTCAGTGCTGCCCATGGGACTGGGGGGAGCCACACCATCGGGGACCCTGTGAGGGGACAGGTCAGGAGCCCCAGCCCCGTAACGAGTGCCGTCTACACTGCCTTGAATACAGAATGCCCCAGGACAGGCTGGGAGCTGGATGCCAGGGCCACACCTGGGGGGCTCAGGCTCCACCGCCTGGACCAGGAAACCGTGTCCAGTCTCTGGCCCTGTGGCCTCAAGTCGGTGGGGCCACGGCCCCAAGCAGGAACACACAAGGTTAACTGCAGGGCCCAAGACCAGCCCAAGGGCCCCCAGCCGCCCCTGCGGATCCCCCGGGACCCGGCCCCTCCCCACACAGCCTCTGGGAAAACCTGCTCCCCTCCACCAGCCCCCACACTGCCCACCCGAGGCCCTGTCTCCACCGGGCCCAGGACACCTCCACATGGACCCAGGGCCGAGACCCCGAACACAGGTGGCCCCACTTTAAACCGCCCTGCGAGGGACAGAATTCAGAGTCTCTACAAGATGTTCCACCCTGCTAAGAGACAGAAGAGCAGGACCCAGTGAGCAGCGTGCCCAGGCTGGCCAATAGCCCCAGTAGGCACACTCCACCCTGCACCCGCTCCAAGCTCTCGTCTACCCGGCTCTGCACTCATGTCTGACACAGAGATGGGGAAGGAAGACGAGCTGGAAGCAGTGAGAGCAGCGCAGGCTGGAGTCTAGCACCAGAGACTGGACTTTGGACAAATCCTCCCAACTGTAAAACATCTGCAGCCTGGAACCCCAGGGCCCTTGGGGCGTGACCGAAGCTAAGGACACAGGTGCCCTCAGGCCCGGGCAGGGGTCCGCCAGCAGCCCCACCCACCACGGCCCTGCGCAGGGCGGGGGGCCAGGCCGAGCTTCCGAGACGGGGGCTCCCTGGGGCTTCCCTCCGTCAGAGGAGCCAGTGCCGGGCTGGGCACTCCTGGCAGGGCGAGGAGCAGAGATGCCAACATCCATGCCAACACCGAAAACCTGGGCAGATGGGCAGGCTGCACGCAGGCAGGGCCGAGCGGGCAGCCCCGGGAGGTGAGGGCCAGCCCCAGGCGGGGACAGAGCGGGGGTGCGGGAGCCCCCCACCCCCCGCAAGCACAGGCCCCAGGCGGGAGGGCTCTGTCCCTCTCGTCTGCCTCGGATCATGACCAAGGTCACCCCGCAGCGAGGCAGTCCCAGCGGGCCATCCACAAGGACCCCGGATGACAGCAGAGAGAAGGCAGCCGTCAGACACGGGACACAGCTATCCAAGGAAGATGTTTTATTTTCAAGTTTCTATGGAAATGTTACAAACAATGGAAACTGAAAGGAAAAAAAACATTTAAAATTTCAAACTAACATTTTAAAATAAAAAATATGATTAGGTGAAATAATAAATAACGACACCCCAGAACACTGTGAGATGAAGGCGGGGCACGGGCCAAGGGCAGGCCTAGGCCGGGGGCACCCTCCCAAGCCTGGCTGCCGGCCCCTCGCCCGCTTGGTGTTCTAGGGAGGCAGGAATGAAAGGGCCACACCATCCAAATCTTGACTTTATTTTTTTTAATATAAAAAATGCAATTTTGGAAACCCACCCTACCTTTTCCCCTAACATAATGCTTTTACCTCTTAAAAATAAAAATAAAGTACTAATTCTATATACATCACATGTACCATACAAAAATGTATCCAAAGTTTCTATTGCTACCAAAGTGTTCTAAATTAAAACAAGTTACAGAAAGCCCCTCATTGTAAACAAAAGATTACAAGTTACAAAATCAAAGCACACACAGCCAGAGTCATTTATACAATAACCAACATCCTGCTCCCAAAGCAAGTTGAATTTTTATGTGCCTGTATAAAAATGCATATCAATATACTTCTGCAAATTTATTTTTCATTATAAAGCAAATGAATACACTTTCTACAATAAATAATCCGCTGGGAGGCACACCGTGGGAGGCTGGCAGGTGGACAAGGCGGCAGGGGAGGCCCAGGAGGCCCGGCCCGGCCCTCACGGAGGCGGCGGAGTGTTTTTGGTGATTTGCGAGTGATGCACGCGGCATAAATTTATTCTCCACTTCTTTCCACAAAGTACCATTCAAAATAATGTCATTTTCTTTCTTAAAATACACATTTGTCATTGTAAATGTACATCCCGTCTATTAAATAAGTGGTACTCTGTGTAAAGAGTATGATTTACAAAATTATTAAACATTCAAAAGTCTTTAAAAAAAAAAAAAAAAAGAGCTAGAGATGGAAGAAAGGACGGCAGCAGCGCCCCCCGGGACGCGCCCACGCCGTCAGGGCGCCCAGATGGGGATGGGTCATAGAAAACCGGGAAAGAAAACCTCGCCCTCCCTGGAGAAAGGACTCCACCACGCCCAAGCCGCAGAGCACGTTACGGGCCCGCAGAGCATGCGCACGGCGGCGCGCTCAGTCTACGTCGCTGAGGTCGCTGGCCCGCAGAGCATGCGCACTGCGCACGGCGGCGCGCTCAGTCTACGTCGCTGAGGCCGCTGGCCCGCAGAGCATGCGCACTGCGCACGGCGCTCAGTCTATGTCGCTGAGGTCGCTGGCCGGCTCCCCGTGCACGCGGCTCAGGTGGCTCATGGCGCGGTCGAAGGCGACCCGCACGGCCTTGCGGATGCTCGAGTTCCTGCCCTCCATCATCTTCAGCTTGTCTATCGTCTCGTCGATACCCAGAGGGACCATCTTGGACTTTGGAAGCCACTGCCTTTAAGGAACAAAATGGACTGTGAGGCCCAAGCACGCCAACCTGCCCCGCCAACCCCGCACACACCCGGCCCCGCCGCCGCCGCCGCCTGACCGCCAGGCACACGGCGCACAACACCGCTCCCCAGCAGGCAGAGAAGGGCAGGGCTGCCCAGCGGAACCCAGCAGGGGCGGCGGCTGGGGGAGGCAGGGTCAGCAGCACGCCCGCACCACCTGGGGACCGCTGGCCGCCCCGCACAGAGCGGTCTGGCCTCAGACGGGCCTCGGGGTGGGGGCTGCCGGGGAGCCTGGAGCCAGAAGGCCGTGCGGCCTCGGCGGGAGCAGCCCTTGCAGAGACAGGGTCTGGGGGGCCTGCCCCCGCCGGCCCCGCCCGCCGCGGTGGTGGCCCGGCGCCCCCCGGCGCTCAGCGGGACCGCGCTCACCAGCTCCGCTTGTTGTCGAAGAAGAGCACCAGGAAGAGCTTCTCGTCGGCCTTCGTCTGCATGTGCTCCCCGATCTTCAGCACGTCCAGCGGCGGCGCCGGGATGGTGACCCCGTTGTGGTGGCCGGGCACGCGCGGCATCTTAGGGTCGATGATCTGCAGAGGGAGGGCGCGAGGTCACGGCGCAGGCCGCGGACAGAGGAGCGTTGGGCAGGGACGGGATGCCAGCCACACCCCGACCCCGACACCCCGATCCCAACTCTGAGACCCACACCCTGACACTCTGAGGCCCCAACTCCGACACCCCTGACACCGCACGGGGTCTCCCGGGACACCTGTTCCCATGGTGCTGGGGTGGCCCCGAGCCCGGTAGCAGGAAGACACAGCCGCGCGGCCCAGCGCCCGCCCGCGCGCGCGCCCGCCCGCCGCACTCACCAGGGCCGGGTAGGACGGGTAGCCGCTGCACTTGGCCCACACGACCTTCAGGGGCTCGAGGACGGAGGCGGCCGCGTCGGTGGAGATCCACATGCTATTCTGCCCAACCTCTGGGGGGAGAGGTGCGCAAGAGGGGAGTCATGGCAGGGCCCTCAGGACCCGCTGGGCCGCGCCTAAGACCCCCTGGGCACCAGGGCCGGCCCAGCTTGCGGGCTCAGGAGCCCAGGGGACACGGCTGGCCCAGGGCGGTGTCTGCTGCAGCTGCGCCCCTTCCCCACTCCACAGCCCCGCCCAGGCCTCTGGGTTCCGGCACCTCCCCCTGCCTGCGGGGCTGGCAGGCGCGGACTCACCAGCGGCAATGCGCGCCGCCTTGGCATAGTTCCCATTCTCGATGCAGGAGATCAGCTCGCTGCGGCCCTCCAGCGTGTGCCTGCGCACCAGGGCCGGCTTGCCGCGGCCGCACTTCGGAGCACTGAAGCTTCGGGGGAAGCGGACAGACGGTCAGCACCCAGAGCACCGGGGTGCAGGGCGTGGGGGTGTTTAGGGGAGGCAGTGTGGGCTATAGCCACGTTTTTTTGGCTCCACCACGTGGGATCTCAGTTTCCGAACCAAGGACCAGCTCGGGCCAGGCAGTGAGAGCGCCAGGTCCCAACCACGGGACCAGCAGGGACTCCCAGCCATCACCATGACCGACCAGGACTAGGGGAAGAGGCCCCACACAGACGTGGCCAATACGTTCGCAAGCTGCGCTCAACTCTCACGCCGCGTCTTCCCCACGTGTGAGCTCCACAGCGCAGGTGGCGGGGAGCAGGCACACCCCGGGGGCCCACCTGGCGTCGCAGAGCGGGCTGCTGCTGGAGCAGATGCTGGACTCGGAGGCGCAGCGGCGGCGGGGCGCGGCGGTCCTCCCCGGGGCGCCGCCCAGCTCCGGCTCCTGCTCTCCCTGCGCGGCCCCAAAGCCATTGGTGAGACCTGGAAAACAGGCGTGCACGTGGCCCTGAGCTCACCAGCTCTCTAAATTGGGACAACGCAGACAAACACGCCCTGCAACCCACACCCAGCGCACCTAGTATGTGGAGACAGACAGACGCACGGAAGAGGGGGAACCGAGTGGAAACACAGACCCCACGAAGGCAGAGACAGACACGGGCTATTCCTGGTCGCTCCCGCCCCACCAACCAAGGCCCTGAGCCTGCGAGGGGACGGTGGAGGCTTCCAGGGGATCTGCACACCCCCAGCGAAGGAAAACCTTCTTCCAAAACAGAGCACAAGCAGGTCCCCAGCCCTTCAGAGCCTCTGAGACCCAAGACAGGCGTCTGGTCCACGTGGGACCCTCGTGTCCGGAAGCCACTGGAACCGACCCTTTCACAGTGCACAGGAGGCCCAAGAGCAAGTGGTCCACAAGCCCACGGCATCACGCAGTAGGTCGAGGACGACCTCGGAGCCAACCTCAGGTCTTGCCCCAGAAGTCCACGCCAGCAGGAGGCAGGGAGGGCACCGAGCCCCACCTGCCGGGTCACGACGTGCTGGGAGCCTGAGGGTGCCTGGCGCCGCCCAGCCCGGCCCAGACCCTCTGGGCGACGGCTGCAAGGGGGATGTGACTCTCCCCCCAGAAGAATACCACTCCTCACACTTCGAAAACTTAAAAATCCATTTCTTTAAAAATGTTTTGAAGGAGCTGGCTGATTACCAGTTTTTTCATCTGCTGTACATACTTCTCTGTAAATAAAGGGAGATGAGGAGACCCTTTACCAGACAGCAGCAAAGATGCAGAAGCAGAGCACGCTTTCTGCTCCCAACAGAACGAAGGCCCGCCCACAGTGAGCCAGTCAGACGGCCTGCCCCTCTGCCAGACTTACACCAAGCCTAGCGTGTTCTCTTTTCAACCCAAGTCTTATTTATAAGTAGTAACCGCAGGGAGACAAGGGTGTTACACTCATTTTTGGAACCTGGACCAAACCACCCTGAGAAAGCAAGCATTCGTCTCAGCTCAAGGGGCCAGGTCCCTGGGAGAAAGCTGTGCAGCGGGGGGCTCCGAGACCCCACCCACACCCCCAGGAGGCCCCCGGACGGCCCCTGACGCAGGGCCAGGCCAGGGTCAAGGGTGCTCAGCTGTGGAGCTGCTGAAGCGGAGCCAGGGGGCCGCCTCCCCCCACCCCCCAAGCTGCTCAGCTGCCTTTCCTGGCGGACAGGAGGAGGACCCCGAGTGGGTGACGGGCAGCCTCACCACCTGACAGGCACCCGGCCCCTGGGAAGGGCTTGGCGAGGGGTGAGTGGGGCCTGCCATCCGCAGCCCCAGCACACAGTGGGAGGCAGTGGAAGCCAGGAAGGCCGGGTCTCCCGAGGGCGGGAAAGCGGGGAGACGGACCCAGCCCCAGGACACCAAGCACATCTCGGGGAGACGGCGCTGACCGCCCTGCCCACGCACACGCGGTGACGAGTGACACCAGAGGGGGGCCCCGCTGGGAGGCACGGGCACATGCACGCCTCCCCCGCCCAGGGCAGCGGGCCACGCCGTCTTCCACACGCTGCCCACTGAGCGGCAGACAAGCCCAAGGGCACAAGGCTGCGTGGCTGGAGAGGGCCAGGCTCCGCAAGCTGCCCCACGCGGCCCGGAGACCTTGCGGGGCTGCAGTGGTACGGCAGGAGCCCGCACAGGGTCCCTCTGAGACACCAGCAGTCAGGTCAGGACCCAGTCAGAGGGTGGCTTCGGGGACAGGCCAAAGCCCCCAACGCCCCAGATGACAGGCACCCAGGATCTCAAACCCCCCTCTCCGCCCCAAAAACGGACAGGCCGAGTGGGGAGCCCTGGCCCAACTGGAGACGCCGGTCAGCGGGGGCACAGCGACCATCCTGAACCCTCGCTCCGCGGGAACAGGAGGCCTCCAGGTGCTCCGGCAGGCGCGCTGGGCGCTGAGCTCCACCTGCCACGGCACTGCCACGCCCACTGCCCACACGCAGGGCGCCCCGGGCACGGGGCCGCAGCCAGCCTCTCGGAGCAGCGGTGTCAAGTGCTGGGTATTTTGGTTACAAGTTTTTATTTTTAGTGTTGGCAATGGAATTGCATTTTGGGGGTTTTTCCACCTTTCAATGAAAACACAGATGCACAGCAAGTAGGATTCCGATGCCCTGCTCGTGCCCAGACCGGCTCCAAGAAGATGCAGCAGCAGGAAGGCCGGCGGGTCCCGTCAGGGGATGCCCCCAGGCCCGGGGACAGGCCGTCCACTCCTGGCAGCAGGCACTCGGCATGGTGACAGAGACAGAGTTGTACCACCTGGAGACCAGGGTGTGACTGAGGAGCCGGAGGAGAGGCAAGGGGGCAGCAGAAGCCAGGAGGCCAGCGCTAACAGCAGACGGCCAGGACGGGCGGTGCTGACACCACGTGGGCCAGGGCGGGGGCGGCTGCGCGGTCCTTCCTGAGCCCAGCCCCAGCTCCACCCTGGTCCTGCCAGCCGGTCCGATGCCGGCCGAGGGCAGGCCAGGTCTCTGTCCACGTCAGTCGTCTGTGGAGGCAGCGGCTCCACGGGCACCTCGGCCCAAGCGTCTGCACAGGCAGCCCGTGCGCAGGGAGGCCACGCGACGTCCCAGCCAGCTTGAGCGCCTGCGGGCGGGCAGGGTGGGCGGCCTGGCTCCTCCAGGGCCGTGTGTGGGTTTTGTGTGGCGGTTCCAAAGCCATCCACAAGGACTGGGTGACATGCAAGGATGCGGGGTCCTTCCGCCTTCTCCAGTCCAAGGTGAGCAAGAGAGAACAACTAGGGTCCAAAGAGTGAACTACCCCGCATGTTAGTAGTTAAAATGAGAACCTGGAAAACAGCGAAAAAGCCGTTTAGTCTGACTGAAGGCCCCGGGGACCAGACTCTGCCCTGAGCAGCGCGCACGCCGGGAGCCACGCAGCAGGTGTCGCGAGAGGCTGGGCAGCAGCATGGAGCCCAGCCCAGGCCAAGACTCGGCGGGCAGACAGCGCGGGCCCCAGAGACGCGGCTCTGGGAGCAACAGACAGCGCGACGATCTCCAGGGGCACCTCCAATGAGAGGCCCGCGTGCCCAGAAGAAGGGAGGCCTTGCCGCACGCGGTGGACACCGAGGACTTCCTACGAGGCACACAGACTGCTCTCTGGGAAAAGCGGAAGGCTGGGAATGCCCACGTCCCGAGACCATGAAGTCTGTGGCTTGGAGCCACGGAGCCCGCCAGACACCCGGGCGAGGCCACGCCGGGGCTGGGGGCCAGGCCAGTCGGTGCCAAACAGACCCTCAGGACAAACCACACATGGAAGACAGAAAACGCCTCTGTCTAGAGAGGAAGAAAGGGCTCTGCCTGAGCCGGGCCACGCGGCGGGCACCTCTAACGTGCCCAGCCCACTTGCAAGGCCTCCAGAACCGCCTTCCAGAGTTGCCACCACCCCTGAGAACCTGCAGCGTCCTTAGCTCAGGGCTGGCAGCAAAGGAGCGACATGGTTTCTACAGAGACCTCTGCGGAGGGAGCCCAGAGGCCCCAAAAGTCCAGCAGCCGGAGACCCACAAGGCCACAGGTCCGAAGCTCGGACGCTTAGAGAGGGCACTCAGGACCTGGCAGTCCCGCCACACCAGCTTCGCCAGGGCCCTGACCACAGGGCGCTGTCTGACTCGCCTCCCGGCAGCAGGGGAAGCTGCGAGGAGAACCCAGCAACATAAAACCAAGCTGAGAGTCTCCCACTAAGCCTAGCTGAGAAAGGCCCCCGCCATGAAGGGACCCATCTGAACCTGTATCCTGGACACTCACACAGCCCACAGAACTCTAACAAGGTACCAAAAATTACCAACTTGATACCAACCCATCAAAATAAAAGCACTGTACTTACTGGAAAATGTATTATCTAATAAAACTAGTTAACGTGCACAAGTTTACTCTGGCGACAAGAAGACTGGTCTGTCCGTCAAGGTGCAGGAGACACACCTCCGTGAAAGCCGGGCGCTCGCCCACCCCGCGGACCCGCGACTCAAATCCAAGCAGCAGAGGGGAGGACGCACTTCTCCGCGTGGCTGTGACCAACGCACCGAGAGCTCACGCCACGGCTCCGATCCACGGTCAGCACGCCTCCAGAGACCCCCACAGCACAGCCACCGTGGAGGGGACGCAAGGGTGACCGACGGCTAGTTCACCAACACGGAAGCCCTGTGGCCCCGCCGGGAGGGCGGCAAACAGGCTGCACGCAGGAGAGCCCAGGCGCCCGGTGTAAACACAGTCTGGGGGACCCCTGAGGAGCGCAGGCACACGGACGTGAGTCCATCAGACAGACCTCAGCCCTGAGAGCTTCGTGGTAGCCAGCAGCACGTTCAGGCTGTCTCAGCAGCAGACAGCTCAGCACACGGGACTCAACCACGCCACGCAGCACAGTGACAGCAGGTGGACGGCACACCGCATCCACCGGGCCCGCAAGGCTTCAGAAGCGGGGCCCGCCGCCTGCACCCACGCACCCACCAGTCGGAGGCCTCCAGGGAAGGGTCCGGCAGGGCCCCCAGGCTAAGACGGCCCCGGCCCTCGGCCACCCTGACGTGGTGCCACCCCAGGCCTGCGACTGGGCGCTTTTCAAAGAGAAACAGCGTCTGTCTCCTCACGTGGACCACAAAGGCTGCACACCGGCCCTGGAGGCACCCCCCCCACCGACTCTGCCCGAGACTGGGAGCACACGGGCGGCGCGATTTACCTGTGTCCAGGCGCTTTCCCGGGGACCCCTCCTCCACCTCAGAGTCGCCGCAGGTGCTTCGCGACCTTTTTCTTGGCTGCAGAAGAGTCTCCAACCTCGGAAGGACTACAGACAAAAAGGTTTTGGTCCCTAGCTGAGGAGAAGTTGGCTGGGTTTCAGTGTTCTTGGCAGACTTTGGGGGGCTTACACTGTCCGATTTGCAGAAGAGAACAGAGGTGCGTCTGTTCACATCGCTCGCTGGCTCCGCCCCCGGCGCAGCGCCACTACGGGCGAGGGTGGGCTCTGGAGAGGGTCCGCTTAGCAGCGCGCTCTGAGTGCAAGCGCTATGTGACTCATTACCAAATGTGCCTCTTTTGGGCAGTTTACTCTGCTCTGGGTGGACTTCTACTGGGTTGAGGGTTGGTGGTTCTGAGTTAGGCTCCGAGTTTGAAGGAAGAGGTAATGCATCTGATGGTTCAAGTTTAGGGGGAGATTTATCTCCTGAAAAAATTATAAATAAAGTGATTTTTGAAAGCTGATAATTATCAAAGCTATCATAAAACTTACTATAATTGTGAAGTCCACCAAAATACTAATTCAATCAAGGAAACACAGCATCACACATAACTGTCTACAAGCAGTCGCGCTTACACTGTGTGCGCGTCCCTGACGCCCGGCCGGCGCCTGCACCCAGGGTCCAGAGGCTCCCTGAGACCACCGCACATGCGCCAGCCCAAGACATCATTCGAGTTCATGACAGTCGCTGCAATCGACATTCACTTACCTTGAGGAAGAAAAATATGCCAGGTAACTAAGGGGGTCTAAGCGGGCATCCCCACAGTCCTGACCTGGTCCACAAGGTTAGCAGACAGAAGGAAACAAGCGTGTGAATCTGGTTTCTGACCAGGGCATTCTACGTCAACGTCAAGAACAGGGAGTGGTGAGTGGCTGAGAACGCTCCAGGAAAACCCCCCATCGGTTCTCAGACCATGCCACCTTCAGAAACGTTATAATCCAAGTTCGTCATTTTAAATCTGACTTGAAAGATAAAAACACAATCTTTGGACAAAGACTATCTTAGCCTCGTTAGAAACACTTTTATAAATTACAAAAAAACAAGAAGCCTGAGAGCCAGTGCATTAGCCCCGGGCCCTGGGGAGCTGGAGAGACCCGTCCTTGGAGGACGGGGTGGGCACGTCCTCCGGGATGAGCCACTGAGGCTTCCCTCCATCAAGGCCAAGGCTGGCGGCAAGACACGCAACACCTAGCAAGTGACTGCACAGCACATCCGCTCACACGGCCGTCTCTGCTGGACAAGCCTGCAGACCTCCCCAGAGCTGTCTGAAACAACGCACGGTTAACGTTTCAAACTCAAAGTCATTTTGAAAGTGAAAAACTACACAACTTCTAAGGTACACTTATGTCTCTGAGCATGTTTTGTGAATTCTCCCCACTGATAGGGAGATAGGCTGGCCAGGCTTGGCCCCAGGAGGGCGGCCACAGTCAGGCTCCGCCCAGAGCTTTCAGATGCCACTCAAGCCTGTGAAGGCTCGTAACACGGCTCAGAAAACGAGGAGACCACCTTTCCTTGACCAAAGCAAACGTCAGTGCAAACACATGTGCAAACGGGAAACACGTGTGTACCCTGCTGATGGCGTGCGGCTGGTGATGGAGCTCCCACCCGCTGCCCGCGGTCACGCGGGACACTGACCCGTGGGGGAGCTAGGGGCAGGCAGAGTGAGTGCGAGACGCTCCCCGGGAGCAGGCCCCCCTCCTTCCCTGGAGAGGCCTCCTCTCCCCCTGACCTGGGGCCCCACAGGGGCTCTCGTGCTGACCTGACACCCAAGCTGCCACCAGCATCCCGGCATCTGCCTCGGCAGGGGACCCGCGCTGCCCTGGAGCTGCCCTTCGTGGAGGATGCCCCTCCCAGGCCCCACTCAGCAGCAGGCCAAGACAGCCGGCCCACCCCAGGCCTGGGCGCGCCTGCCAGGGCAGTGCCCCCAGCACACAGGCAGTGAACCCCATGGCCCGCGGCCCTCACTGTGCCCACCCTCTGCCCGCACCAGCCATGCAGTGGGCTCGTCAGCGGGGTGCCTCACTACTCCTCCCGAAGATGACGCTATGGCTCAGGGCTCTGCATCTGCCAGAGCGGCTCACAGATGTGTCCTGGCTTCCACAGCCTCACGGATGGCAGGGGTCACAGCAGAAGGTGTTCAGGTGACCCAGTGCAAACCACCCCCCGCCACCAGCTGCAGGCCTCTCATGGGCCGCGGACTCCAAGCCTCAGTGTTCTCATCCGTCAAACGGGAACAAACAGGACGGTGCCCGCCATCCGGCGGCCCACAGAACAGGTGCCAGCCAGGGCTCCTGGGGTCTGCCCTCGGGGTGCACACACTAGACCCACATCCCCACGGTCACTGGCTATGGGGTCTGCCCTCAGGGTCCATACACTAGACTGACCATCCCCGGAGTCACTGGTTGCTAACACACCACGCAGCTCCTCGGGAGAAACGCTCCAGCAACGTCTGGAGTAAATGATGTGTTCACAGCATAAACGAACGCAGAGCCTCAGGACTCGTCAGCGTGAACCCTGGCATCTGGAGCCCCACTCAAGGGAACTCACGACGCGCAGATCAGCATGGGCCCCGCCCAGACCACCCCGCACCACCACCCACGCCCCGGGCCCTGACCTCCCATGAGACGCTTCCAAACCAAAGCTACACATGCACCGGGGACCCGGCTTGGTGCCTCACTGGACACGGTGCCGCCGTCTCTCCCGAGTCGGGGCATCCCCCCACCCCCGACTCAGGCGTGACCTCGTCATCCAGCCTCAGCTGTGCTGCTCCCAGCAGCCCCTCCCCTCTGGGGAAGGAGAGGGCCCAGTCCTGAGCAGTGAGGACAGAGCCTCAACCTGAGACTGGACCGAAGTGCGGCCGCGGGAGGCAGACACCCCTCTGGACTCTCAGGCCCACAGCCACACCCTCCTGACTGTTCCGGCCCGCACTGCTCAAGGAAAGCAACCTGGAAACTGAAGCCCTGCCTGCAAGGCTCCCCGCTGACCATGGGGAGGTCACAGCCGCTGCCCCTCCCCTGCCCAGAGTCTCCTCCTCGCCAGGGTTTCCAGTGGAAACCCCGTGAGCGTCAAATCACAACTAAGATGCTGAGAAACACTGCCCTTCAGGACTGCTGACGACATTGCTCTCTTGCCCCAAGACCACGTCCCCACACGTTGCTGCCCTCCTCCACACACGGCCGTCGCCGCGGGCTGCACCAACTGCTGTTCCCGCAGACGCCCCCCAGCACCGCCGTCTGTGGCCTCACAGGCGGCACCGCGCCCGCGCTCGTTGCTGCCCTCCTCCACACACGGCCGTCGCCGCGGGCTGCACCAACTGCTGTTCCCGCAGACGCCCCCCAGCACCGCCATCTGTGGCCTCACAGGCGGCACCGCGCCCGCGCTGCCGGCCAGCCACCTGCACCACACCACTCCTCCCAAAACATCCCTCCCAGCCCGCCCCGCGCGGACCGCTGCGCCAGCGCCCTCTAACGCGGCCCGGCCCCAGAAGCAGCATGACGGGCCCGCGGGAGCTCCCGCAGCGGGAGAGCTCAGAGGAGCCGCTCTGCCGACGGAAAACCAAGCTGGCGCCCCGTTCTCCCCGCACTCTCCTGCAGAAGGAGGGAGACACACGCCCTCACCCTGAGGGGCAGCGAGGGCAGCAGGAGTGGCTGGGAGGAGACCGTCCCCACAGGGCCCCCACTCCAGGTCCTAATGACCGGGGCCACCCTGCGCCCTGAGAGCCCCGAGGGCACAGAAGAGCACAGTCGTGGAGCCCAGCTGGACCAGCTGCCGAAGGTCCCCGAGAGCAAGGGCTGCTCGGAACCAAACCCACAGGCAGGGCCAGTATGGTGATGGCGGAGGCCCCGGACTCGTCCCGTCCCCGAGGACAGACGCTCAAGCCTGCAGCAGAGCGCACGGCCACCCAGGCAGAGGGCATCACGCGGGGACCCACCCCACCGCACAGTCAGCTACGAGCAGAGAAAGCTCGAGGATCCAGGTCCCACCCCCTGCTCCTCAGGCAGCTGGACCGCAGGACACCACGGGCCCAGCATGGCCCACTCGCTCACGGGCACCACCAGGAGAGACGTGGCGTCACTGCCAGGACACGGCAGGCCCGCAAAGCCGGCACTCACCCGCAGAGACCACGGTTGTGTTCAAAGGGTGAGCTGTAGAACAGCTTTCTATGTCCTTCGATTAACTGCTCTGTTGTTCTTATTGAGGGAAAGTGGTAAAAAATCAGAAAGACCACACACAGCTGCCAAGAGCCGTGCAGGGAGGGCGCCGGACCCCACAGCCTGTGCTGCTGCCTGCAACGCCCAACTCTCAGGTGAGGCGAGGAGGGCAGGGACCCTCCACACCCCCGAAGGGCTGTCCCCGGGGAGGGGCCCTCACGGTGGCGTCCCACCCACGGGAGCACAGGGCCGCTCGAGGGCCCTGCCGCCGCACACTCCCTGGGAGAAGAGCTCAGATAGCCCTCCCCTGCGCAGCCTCGCCAGGTCACTGGGCACCTGCTGGGAGGCTCCGCTCCACGTTTCCGCCCCGGCACACCAGCCCCTCACTCTCCTACCGCCCTGCAAGGCTGTGGATAACCTGAACTGTGCTTGAGAAACAGATCTCATTTCACCCCCAACGTTTTTAAGTGGCCAAATGCGGCGCAGACAGGACGACACCCCGGCCTCAGCCCGGAGAGCCTCCAAGCGCTTACCTTCCTCCGCAGCCTCCTGCCCCCGCGGAGCACCGTCCTCTTCCGGGCCTGCAGTACCTGACTCCGCGGCTGGGGGCTGGCTGTGCTGCTGGCTCAGCTTGCTCCGCAGGATGGCGATCTCCTTCTTCAGCAGCTTGGCCCGCTTGCTCCGCGACCCACTGGACTTCATGGCGCACGTGAGGTCCAGCATGTCCAGCAGCTCCCTCAGCTGCTCCTCCAGGACCATGTGGGCCCTGTTGGCTGGGTTCAGCAACCTGTCCACTGGAGACAGACACGGCCATCAGCCGCCACACGGGCACCGCCAACCTGAGACCACCTCACCAGGGACCCCAGGGCCCCACCCTCGCGTGGCGGCTGCTGGCCGGCCGCCACTGGCAGACACGGGAGCCGGGGCCACTGGGCCCTCCCGCCGAGACCAGGCACCCAGGCGAAGACAGGGCCGGAAAGAGGTCCTGACGCGCCAGGGGCACCAGCTCAGGGCCACCGTGTGTCTGAGCCGGAATCTCAGTCCCAGGCTGTTATGTGGCTCTTTTAAAACTGGACTACAAAGTTCACAGGTAATTCACAGTTTGGAGTATATTTACAAAAAAATCCTTAACAAAATTTCAACTTCAGCCAATCACCAGAATGCATGAAGTAGACTGCCTTCCATTGGTGAGGCAGCTAAGAAACTGAGTGAGCCCACAGGAGCCCCGCAGGCTGAGCTGGGGCACAAACTCGGCAGCAGGCCGGACGAGGGGATGCCCCTCGCTCCGCAGGCAGACCTCCTCCTAAAGCACCCGCCTCATCACGAGAACAAGATGCCAGGACCGGGAATCAAGCGAGAATGCGTCCTAACAGAAGGCCACAGATAGGAAGGTTCAAAGCAAGAAACCTCGGCTCTGAAAGCCTCGCAGTATCTGGCCTGCCCTCAGGCAGAGGACACCGCGGGGAGGGGCCGGGGGCCCCCAAACGCAGAGGGGACACAAGTGCACTTCTCACCCCAAGTCCAGGCTTCGTGAAAACCTGGGTGTGGAAATGGACGCAGAGACTCACGGTGACTCGCCGGGCCATTTCCTGCAAGGCCAGCGCCCCTTCCCGACCCAGAGCGCTCAGGTGGAGGAGGGGGTAGGTCCGTTTCCAAGGACCCGGGAGAGCCAGCAGACACAGGGCGTCCCTCCCAAGGCTGCCTTGTGAGGTGGGCAAACCCCAGCAGGGAGGGCCTGCCTGTTCCCTGCTCCCTTGCCAGGGGCTTCCTCTGCCACAGGACATCCTCACAGGCGCCCCCCCAAGGCCCACCTGCACACACGGCCCAAGCAACACTGCTCCCTGGTCTGTATCAGGGCGACCTGGCTGTCCCACTCAGGGCCACGGCTCACGTGTCTCTCAAGTGGGCACCTGAAACGTGGCTGCTCTGAGCAGAAATGTGCTGAGTGTAAGATACATGCTACGTGGCAAACAGAGGAGAAGCCAGTGAAGGCAATCCTGTCTGCAATTCCTGTGTCACTTACACATTAAAATCACAATACTCAGGTATACTGGGTTAAAGATATGATGCGAACACAAGTCCTCACGAGGCTACTAGGAAATCTCGAGCCAGCATGCGGCTCGCATCCCGCATCCTAAGCCTGCACTCCAGTGTCAGGGAAGTGCCCCCCAACTGCTCCCGCACGGCCGTGCTCACCCTCGTCCCAGGAGAAAGGCCGCCGGGGGGCCGGGGGTGGCCGCTCTGGCAGGTGCATCCCCGAGGCCTCGTCGAAGCCGACACTGTCTGCCTGGCGCCGGGCCTGCCTGAGCACCACACCGCCCTGGTCGCGCAGCCGCACAGCAGCCCGGTAGAACACCGTGTCCTTGGCGTTGTACTTCATGCAGTTGTCCACGATGAGGTCAAAGTCCTCTTCCAGCTCCCTGAGTGTCCGGTACCCCTGTGCTTCCAGCCGCTTCCGCATTGTGGCAAAGTCCATGGGGCGTTTGATGTGATCCAGATAATCCGGGACCTGATTTCAGGGAACAAAGCAACAATTTACAGACACAACCAGAGTCTCGCACTCCACGTAACCAGGACACCCGTCATGTACATACAGACACACACAGGCTCACTCCATGCTCACACAGAACCACGGGGCAGCCCAGGTCCTCTGCCAGACGCGCACGCACTGGGAGGGGTCCTTCCACATCCCTGGGTCACCACAAGCCGGAAGGAGGCCGGCACAGGAGGCGAGGACACCTACCTCCTTCAGGCTCACCGGCTGGGCGAATATGCGGGCCGGGTCCTTCTCCTGCAGCTGGTCCAGCACAGAGCGCAGCAGCACGGTCAGCGGCGTCAGCCGCAGCTCCAAGGCCATCTGCTCCACCTTCACCTGGGGGCCAGCGCACCACGGCTCAGCGCCCGAGGGCGCACTCCCTCCGAGGAGCCACCTCCCACCTCGAGGATGCAGCGCCGTCCAGGGGCAGATGGAGGTCCACATAAAAGGCAGACGCAGTAGGCCCCTCCTGCTCACATCTCCTGGGACCCGATGGACACCACAAAGTCCCCACCCCAGCCAGTCTCCTTCACGGCAGAGATCGGCGTCAGCTCCTCAAGCCACCAGCACCCCTCACCGGAGAGGACCGCTCAGAGGAAGCCGGGGCAAGGACTGCAGGGCCCCGCGCAAGCTGTCCTTTCCCCGGACGCCCCGCCCCCGCAGCCTCACCTGCTCCCGCTTGAGCTTCTCGCGCTTGCGCAGAAGCTCTATGAGAAGGCGCGCGCGCTCCAGGTCGTGCCGCAGCCGCTGCCAGTACTTGAGCTTCTCTTTGGCGGCCTGAATCTCCTCATCGTTCTCTCTCTGAGAAGAAGAATGGGATCGGCCTTGTCCCCCACACAGACACGCTCGGAGAGAGCTCCACGGCTCAGCCCCTCGCCTCCTCCCCAGGGAGCCTCCTCCTGGGACAAGCGCACCAGCGCTGCCGCCTCACCTCCAGGCCAGCGCTGCGGCAGGGGTGGGGCTGGGCAGGGGGAGCGCAGGGCCAGGACGCCCTGATGCAGAGGCCTGGCGCCGGGCGCAGCCTCGCCAAGGGCACCCCCCTCACCAGCCGGCCACCCAGCCGCCTGCACCCCGCCACCAGTGCCCGCATCCCCGGCCTCGCTCCCCCAGCTCTGCCCAGGGCCTGGGGTCCTCAGAGCCGCGCCCCCTGGAGGGGCTCTGGACTGCCCGCCCCCAGCTCCAGGGGCCCAGCCTCCCACCGCCACACGGGCCACCTCACAGCGCACCTGAAGGCTGTCCCACCACAGCTCCTCCCACACTGCCCACTAGGGCTCCAGGCGGGAGTCTGGTCAAGGCACCCGGAAGCTGAGTCCGACCTCACGCACCAGGCTCCCCCTTCCCTGCCGCCGCTGCCGCAGTAGGCCTGCTCTGGCTGCAGGCACCGGCACCGCTTTCAAGAACGCTCGGCACAAGCCTCAGGCCCTCTTCTCTCCTCAGCCTCCTCTGCCGCTTGGGACCCACCCCCATCCAGAGCAAGCTGTAACAGCGCAGCCATCTGGCGGCGTCCGCGGCCCCCAACCCCTATCCCAGTGCAAACCCTGCACCCTGGCAGCAGGGAGCACTCCACTGAGAGGATCGACCCTGACTAAGGCTGACGCTACATTCCAGGACCTCAGGGTCTGAAGGCAAAGAACTCATGGCCAGAGGAACAAGGCCCTTCTCGCTCTACTGGGAAAGGTAACAGAGGGGCCCACCCAGGAGGCCGGGAGCAGGGTTGGAGCCGGGCCTGAGCCTCCCCTCCGCCAGCATCCTCCAGCTCTACCAGATTCCAATCACCAGCTTGTTTTTATGTTATTTGAAATTCTCAGGCATCAAACAGTAATTAACAGTAAGATCAACTGTATAAACAAGGCCAGTAAATACATTAAATGGTGGGCTCAGAAAACCAAATTCCTCGAGTGCATCTGAAATCATCTTGTTCATCAGTTTGAAACAGACATGGAAAACATCAGCTCCAAGGACATTTAGCCTGGTGGTCCACATGAGACAGCGAAAAGCAGTAAGTCCCCAGAAACTCCTGATGCTCACCTGCTGTGCCCACCACCGCTGGCTGCAGGACCGCAGGCCCTGCCCCCGACACAGCGCCCCCACCAAGCAGGAACCTGCAGGGAGGACCTGACCCAGCCCCACGCCTCTTGTGTACAGACGGGCCTGCCTTTCTGACTCTGCATGAATAATTCCTACATGAAACCAGTCCTGGAAGGACCCACACACTGGGGGCGTACCACAGTCATTTCTGGTTTCAAACAACTATCAAGAGAGCTCTGAGAAGACTGTCTGCAGCCTAGTCGTCATCCACCTGCAGACGGAGGGGAGCACACGCAGTGCCTAGAAGTGAGATGGACAGAACCCCCCACCCCACAAGGTCAACACCAACGGGGTCAGACCAGCACCCCGGCCGGGGATAGGGCAGGCCAGCTCTGTGGCATGAGGACCCCGTACATCAGGCCGACTCCCAGGACACAAGCAAGGGTGGGAGACGCTGCGGGACAGCCGCCTTTCCCCCCACGACGCCAGCAGCAGTGGTGTGGGCAGCAAGAGGCCCTGCCCCAGCTCAGCAGGACAACCAGCTGTCCAGAAACCCCCGAAAGCGGATGGGGACACCCTCCCACCACAGGGCACGTCAGGCGGAGCCGGCGGACATGAGCAATAGAGGGCAGGTGGGACAGGAGCCACACACACCTGCAAGCCCCCACCCCAATCTGCAGGACGGAACCACCACAGAGACCTACACTGAGGCCAGGTCTCCATGGGCCCAGGACAGACCATCGAGGAGGCAGGGGCCAGGACCACCCAGCAGCTGAAGCGCCTCATCCTGTCCAGCCCAGCTCATCCCATCTATCTGTCCGTCCCTGCCTGGAAGGTCTGCCATGGGAGAGAAGGGCTGCACCTACCCTCTCCCAGGGCCCAGCTCAGGGCAGACGCCCAGACATACAGACTAGTGAGTCAGGTTAAACTCTAATACCAAGCATTTTCAAAAGTTTCAAAAATCATCAAAATCACACCAAGCCTTCGACATGAACGGGTCGCCCCCAAAAGCCAACCTACACTAAGATGGGGTGGGAAGCAAGAGGCAGTGCCGCCTCGCACCCACCCCAGGATGGGGCGCTCCCGGCCATTCCAGGCTGGCGGGGGGCAGGCAGACCCCCACCCACGGCCCTGCCCACACAGGCTGCACCACTGAGCTCACTACAACCAAGTCAGGACAGGCCTCGGTCAAGCCCGGGTGCCCCTCAGGCTAAACCTCTGGTTCCTGCCGATTCCTTCGGCCAAGAGGACTGACCCTGCTGCTTCCCGTGAGTGAGTTCTCCTGTCATTACCGATTTCCCTCAAGCGTGGCAGGACGTGAGAACACGACTGCTCTCAAACCCACGTGCTGACCCGGGGAACACGCGCTCCTCTCAGGTGCGGGCAGGCCCCTCATGCACCGCAACCTCGGCCCAGCCCCACTCTCCACGCGACTCCCCCTGCCAGCCCAGCCCGGAGGCCAGACCCCCAGCTCTGCGCCTCCCACTGTCCCGCTGTCACCGGGCTGAGGACAGAGGCCCCCGTCCGGCCTCCCTGCTCCCATCTCGAGATGCCCTCTGCCTAACTCGCCACCCCTGAGGCCCAGCACCCGAAGGCCTTGCAGGCTCTGCCCTGCCCCCCTTCCTGGAGCTCCCTAGGCAGCCCAAGCCAGCCAGCCACCCTCAGTCCCCACGATTCCAGCCCTGCAGCCTCCTGGATGTTCCCCCACCCCGCGGCCAACCTTCACAGCCCACAGGCCCAGGTCCTGACACGGCCCTCACGGAGACAGAGCCCCGTGTCCAGCGGGGAGGAGCGGGGAGCACAGGGCATCCCCAAGAAGGGCCCGGGAGGGGCGGGAGGCTTAGGATGAGCGTCCCCACCCCAGGGTGAGCAGCAGGACTAGACACAGCCGTCAGCAGTCCTGACGCTGGACGGAGCAGGTAGGAGGCTGAGAGCCGGGCTGACCCCACCAGCCCCTCTGCACATGTCCAGGGCGGCTCCGGCCTGGTGCACGGGGTCAGCCTCCCCAGACGGGGGCGGTGGTGAGCCTGCACAGCTGTGCCCACCTCGGGGGAGGGGACTCAGACGGCACCACAGGCAGGAGGACCTGACCTGCCCGTCACACCCCAGGAGCGGCAGGTCCAAGGAGAAGCCCCGCGGCGTGTGGTGCCTCCTTCCCCGGAGACAGAGGAGGGCCAGGGGCACGGCCCACCCCACAGCCGCCCAGAAACCTCACACTGCTCTGCGTTTCAAAACGCATTACCGAGATACCGGAATCCCAGCTTCTCTTTTTAAGAAGCATTTGCGCATGTGCGCGATGCTGGACTACCTGCCATCAGCGCCACAGGCCTGAGGAGGCAAAGAGGCGGAGCTCCGTTCAGGCCGTGGCGGCACGCGGTCCCGGACTCGCACGGGGACCTCAGGGAAGGAGGGGCACAGAGCGGGAGGGCAGCGGCTTTCAGGAGAACGCGAGGGAACCGGCGCCGCGCCACTCCACACGGGACCAGCGACGGGAGCCTCCGGCAGCCGGGCAGGCCTGCCCCGACCAGAACTCGGCGGGGGGCTCCCCACACCAGGGAACCCCAGCCAGGTGCAGGGCCTGGGCCCCCATCCAGGGGCACCACATCCCCTGGACTCACTGGGGCATCGTGGCTCACGGAGCCTTCCGGACGACGGGAACCAGCAGAAGCGGCCCACACACAGCAACAGGAACCGGCAGAGGCAGCCCTGCTGCACATGGGCAGCAGCAGCTGACCCCCGTTTGTCTGTGACAGCTCACGAAGCCGGCTTCTCCCTTCCTAAACCCGCCTTTCAGAAAAGCGCTCTGAACATCAGCCGGCCTGTGAACCCGTGTCAGCTACCAAGAGGAAGGCACCCATCTCGCCCCGGCCGCCCCTCCTGTGCAGGGGTCCCCGCCCCGAGGTCACCACACGCCCGCCCCGCAGTCAGCTGGCAGAGGCTTCCCCGCGCGCCCCCAGCAGGCAGAGCCAGGAAAGGCCAGAACACGGCGGGGCTGAGGGGCACCTCGGACGGAGGCTCCGCCTGCCACCCCGCGGGCCACGTACCTGCTGCGAGCTTCTGTGGGACTGCAGGCTGGACTGGAGTCTGCGCAGCAGCGGGGCTCCGTTCCTGGACAGCCGCTTGAGCAGCCAGTAGCTGTGGGCGCGCTCGACAAACTGCTTCTTCCGCTGAATGGCCACCTGATTCGCAATCCTATTTAATCTAGAACACGGAAAAACTCAGTTTAGCTATGAAGCAGGACATGGACACATTTTTACAGAGACTAGAAACGACAGCGTTACTGTTCACAAACCGTGTGCGCCCCTCGCCACCACCTGCCTCCCTGCTCCGCCTGCCTGCGGGCCCCGTGTCCACCACTGCCACTCAGGTCACGCGTCCAAGGACCCCGGTGTCCCCACTCTGAGCCGCAACATGCTCACACACCGACCTCCTCAGGGGTGAGCAGCCCTGCAGGATGGCTCCTCTCAGGGGCCCCAGTCCCCACAAGACAAAAAAGCAATGGCTGGAGGCAGCAGCTGCTAGGGGTAGGGTCAGCTCCTTGTCACAAAAACGAGCAAGAGGCCTCCTGGCAAGACCATCGTTTCAGAGACTGTAAAATTCGAAGGATTTGTAAGAACACACGAGGAGACACCAAGGGCTCACGGCCTCCAGGCCGGCTTCTGGCCCCTTCCATCGCCCCTCCTGGGAACCATGCCTCGGAAGACAACAAATGCAGGCTGAGGGCCAGGCGGCTTCCTCCCGGTATGCTGGACACCAACGTTTCCAGGTGGAAATTAAGGAATTTTAAAAGGACGTCTCTTGAGGAGTGCGAGTCCTAAATCACTCATAACTGTGCTGACACCCTCGGCTCCGCCATGTCCAGACCCGCAACGCTCCTTCTCACGAAGGCAGTGGCCACATGCCTCTCAGGGTGGCCCCACCCGGGGCCTCTTCCGGCGGCTGAGGAGCCGCTCCACCCAGGCCCGTGACCCGGGCCAACACGAAGCCCCAGCCCAGCATGTGCACAGGCCCGCCCGGTCACACGGTGCTGGCTCCAGCAGCAGCCACAGCATCCCCACGGCCCTTCAACAGCTCCAGCAGAAGGTGCTGGGGACCCCGGGTCCCTCATCTGCAGAGGGCTGTGTCCATCCTGGGCACCTAGCAGGCGCCCGTCTGCTGGGGTCTGTCTTCACCCGGTGACCGCCACCTGACTCAGGGACGGCAAAGAGGAGGCATCTTAACACGCAGAGCGCACGCAGACGTGCTCTCACACACGCTCAGTTCCTGCAATGGCGAAGGGCAGCACCGATAAAAGGCAGACCCAGCGTGCTCACAGCGACTGCGGACATCAGGAAGGGACGCGAGAAGGTCCCGAGCCCGGGCAGGGCGGGCAGCAGCGTGGAGAGCCTCCCAGCGGCCTTCCCTGCCCCCCGTCCAAGGCAACATGGATGAAGGCGTGTCACACGCCAACTACATCTCCATAAAGCTGGCGGAGAGGAGGAACAAGGAGCAAAACACAATGAAACAGGAAACAAGAACACGCAGGAAAACCTCGACAAAACCAGAAGTGTGTTAGCAGAAGACTAGCCAAGAAACACACGGGAGCAGAAAACTGAGAGTGAGTCTCACGCCTTTACAGCAGCACTGACCCCACAGCCGAGACGCAGAGACGACCTGAACGGCCGTCGCAGAGGAACGGACGGAGAAGACGGGGGCGGGCGCACACGCGGGGGGTGAGCGACAGAGCGAGAGATGGAATGTTGCTGCTGCTAAGTCACTTCAGACGTGGCCGACTCTGTGTGACCCCATACACGGCAGGCCACCAGGCTCCCCCGTCCCTGGGACTCTCCAGGCCAGAACACTGGAGTGGGTTGCCATTTCCTTCTCCAGCGCGTGAAAGTGAAGTCGCTCAGTCGTGTCCGACTCTTAGCGACCCCATGGACTGCAGCCCACCAGGCTCCTCCATCCATGGGATTTTCCAGGCAAGAGTACTGGAGTGGGGTGCCATTGCCTTCTCCGAGATGGAATATTACTCAGCCATAAGAAAGAAGGAAATAATGACACTAGCAACACAGATGGACTGGAGATTGTCATGCTGAGTGAACTAAACCAAACATGACACCATATCACTTACATGTGGAATCTAAACGACACAGATCAACTTATTTACAAAACAAGAAAGAGACTCACAGGCTGAGAGACCAGACTTACAGTGACCAAAGGGGACAGGGTTGGGGAGAGATGAATTTGGAGTTTGGGATTAATATATATACAGGACTGTATGCAAAATAGATAAATAACTAATGGCTACTATATAGCACAGGGAATTATATTCAACATTCCACAATAAATCATAACAGAAAAGAATATGAAAAAACACCGTGTACCTTTGTCACCCTGCAACACACCAGAAATTTGCCACTGTTCGGTCGCTGAGTCATGTCCAACTCTGTGCAACCCCATGGACTTGCTGCAGCAAGCCAGAATTCCGTCCTTCACTGCCTCCCAGCATTTGCTCACACTCACGTCCACTGAGTCGGTGATGCCATCCAATCATCTTGTCCTGTCACCCCCTTCTCCTCCCGCCTTCAATCTTTCACAGCATCAGGGTCTTTTCCAATGAGTCAGCTCTTCGCATCAGGTGGCCAAGGTATTGGAGCTTCAGCATGAGTCCTTCCAGTGAAGCAGAAACTAACACTTTCTAAATCAATCAACCATACTTCAATTTAAAAAAAAAAAGAAGTATCATGAAAACTGAGATGCAAAACAAACCTGTAGAAAAATGTAACTGGCCAAATCTGAATTATGGAAAAAAAAAAAAAGAAAACTGAAATATATTCCTTTAACAATTACTCTAGAAACTGAATGAACCGTTTAAAAGTTTTCTTACCACCCTCCAAAAAAATAAAAGGAACCAGTTTTTCAGAGGGTCGTCACTGTCAGAAAAGAACACCAGGTCAGCCCAGCCCTGCGCTGACTGCGGGGAGGCGAGGACACGTGTCCAGTCCTCGGTGAACGTCCCGACGAGGCGGGGAGGGTGAGGTCAGGCCAGATGCCAAGTGCACAGAGACACCCCAGGGCCTGGGGTCCATGACCATGTGCAGGGCTCAGTGGTCTAGAGTGCAAAGTCCCGTAAATACCACTCACACAGCCGGGAACAGACCGCAGACTGTGATCCCCACGAAAGACCAGAAAAGGGGCCCTTGCGCCCGGCAACTCACCCCTGGCTCGCTGGGAGCTGCCCCTCGAGAGCAGCCCCTCCCAGGACCCCTGCCGGGGCTGCGCTCACCACACAAGCGGGCACACCAACCACAAAAGGAGACAGTCACAAGACACTCTCGGGGGACAGGAAGGCCAGAAATGGAGACACCCCTGATACTGTCAGGGAGGGGGACAAGGACACGGAGACGCCCCCATGATACTGTCAGTGAGGAGGACAAGAAGGACACGCAGGTCACCTCCCAACCGACCCGAAATCCCAAGAGCCTGACAGACGACTGGGGAGCACAGGAGGCAGGCTGGCCGCACAGACGCCCCCCCAGGGCTGGGTGGGTGTGTGTCTCTGGGGGAGGAGGTGCTCCGTGGACGAAGCGGGCAAACGGCTCCACGGACGCCAGCGCGTGAGTGTGAGGGACAGCCCGGGAGCCCAGCAGTCCAGAGGTCCCGTCAGTGCCAAGGCCGCGGGGCAGGGGCAGAGGGATCGCTGCAAAGCTTTCAGAAGAAAACCTCGAGGCCCTCAGGGAATGAACGGTTAAGTAAGATGTGACAAGTACAAACCATAAAATAGAGCAAACACACACATTAAAAGCAGGAGGCGATCCCTGTGACGTGTGAGCCGAGGTGGGGCTGCCTGCTCTCACCCATCAAACCCACTCGGGCTGGCGGAAAAGAGACAGGAAAACCCGAAGGATGGAAAAGCCTGCCCAAACCGTAACTTCACAGATGACGTCCAGAGAAAACCTAAGGGAACCTGCAATGCGTGACATCAACATACAAAACCCTGGCTCTATACAAACACCCAAACATGCCGATTTCAGAAAACACTGTTTCTAATACTAAGTTTTTCATGGACATTTTTAGAGAAAACTGTGAACTTTCAATGAACACTGGAGAGGTTGTAGTGAGCATGGAATGGGCCATGCCCAGGTCAGGCTGAAGGCTGGCAAGGAGCCGGGCTTCCAGGAGGAGACACACATCTCGGGGGTGGGGGGCCCACAGAGCAGTCTCCAGGTCGGGGGTGCAGGAACAGGTCAGCGTCGGCCCTGCCCGCCAGCAGGAAAGACAGGTGTGTGAGCTGCAGGACCTCAGGGTCAGACGCTGCGTCCTCGGACCAGACAGACACGCTGTTCACACACATCCACTCCAGGGCCGCAGGGCACGGCCCGGGCACAGCCCGGCTCTGAAGCGTGCTGTCTGTTATTTGCGCTGCCCAGGCCCCAGGGGAAGTCACGGGGCTGGGGTGTGCTTCCAAGTGACCCAAAGGAAGGAGCGGGTGAGGCGGACGGCCCAGTGGTGCCGAAGCTGGGGTACGGGGGTGGCCCTTCCGACCTCACAAACACCCAGACTTTTTACAAGGTCTTTTAAAGACAGTTAAGAGCGGGGACGCCGAGGGGCAGACACTCAATGAGCACAGCCAACTCCCTGCCACCACAAGCCAAGCCGGGGAGAGACCCAGTCCCCGGACACGGAGCCCAGCCCCGGCAACAAGGGGCCAGACCCGCGCCGTGGCCTGCGGTCAAGGCCTGCCCACACCCGCAGCAGGCCGGCAGCCGTTACGGCAGGAAGAACGGAAAAGCAGGCCTGAGAGGGACCCAGCCATGTCTGCTACGAGGGGCTGATGGGCCTGGAGGGGTCTCAGGAACAAGTGTCAGTCAACGTTTTTTGCTACATTTGATAAATCCCTGTCAGTGTCTCTTTTCTTTTTTTTTAAACTTTCTATATTAAAGTCATGACAAACAGGAATAAAACAGCATTAAAAACCATCCCCTGGGACTTCCCGGCAGTCCAGTGGCTGAGACTCCACACGCAGAGGCCGAGGTCAGGGACCCCTCAGGCCACAGCCACGAGCCTGAATGCCACAGTGCAGAGCCCACACGGCCAGATAAAACACCAGCCCTGCTCACACACACAGACACGGGAGCAGAGGCCCCGCGCTTTCAGAACAGCTGAGACGGAGGTCAGGGGACACGAGAAGCCACCGCCAGACCCGCAGAGGCCAGAGTCAGCCTCCGGAGGGCGCAGTTCCGGGCCTTGCTGGTTCCTAGGGCGCCCCCTGCCCGGCTGCGCAGGCCACAGCCGGACCGCCCCTGAGCCAGGCAGCTGCCTGCGCCGGGCGCTGCCCCTCAGAGCCCAAGCAGGCGAGTGACAGCCAGCCAGTCTGAGCCCACTTTCCTGAGAAACCCCACCAGCGCTGACCCCCCAGATGCCCGCCTCAGCACCCAGGCCTGCAGGGCAGACCCTCTGAAAACTGCACCTGCCTCCACAGCACTGAGGAGAACAGAACCCCAGGGGGCGGGCACGCCCTTCAGCCTCATGGGGAGGCACGGGCGGTCTAAGGGTGACCCCAATCCAAGGAGGCCAAGCGGGGCTCCCGGCCGCAGGCAGCAAGGTACCCGGGGAGGCTGGCCCCCCTCGGGAGGTGCACGGGGCATGTGGACCGCCCCAGGAGGGCACACGGGTGAGTCGTGAGCGAGGGAGCCTCAGGGTGAGGGGGTGACGGGGAGATTTCCCTTCCCCTACTTCTGCGACGTTTTATAAATCTGAAGCTATTTCAGAACAAAAAACTGAAACTGATAAAAGGACAAGGCATGACAGGATGCCAAGGCCGGTCTCCACAGGCACCAGGCTCATCCCACGATCCACTGCAGGCAGCGACCCGAAGCGCAAGACAAAGCAAAACGTCCACGTGTCTGCCCCTCTCTGCAGAAGCAGACGCGGGGCCCATGAGCCGGCACGGCCAGACCTCAGGCCTCAGCAGACGCCCCAGGGGCCGGGCCCACTCTGCGCCCCCAGGATGCCCCGGCCCTCCAGGCATCCGCACACCTGAGGAACATGGGACACCACCCGCAGCTCCCCGCTCAGCACTGGCTTCAACCCCAGACACACGGGAGTCCCTAGGGGAGGCACTCAGAAGTGCCCGCGACGCGGCACAGCCACGGTGAGGTGCCAGGCTCCCCCACTGGGCTGTAAGGACTCAGTGCCCACAGGCCGGACCGTGCCCAGGCCCCACCCCACCCCTGGAGGCCCTCGGGGCAGAGTCTGGAGCTGGCCGCCAGCCCTGCGCCCCGCCCCACCCCAAACTCACATACAGGGAGCCCAGCGAGGTCAGGGGAGGGTCAGCATGGACGCATGGTGGCCACGTGGCGCGGGCCCCGGCGCGCGCTCCCCCGGCACGGCAGGGGTGGGCTCGCAGCCGGCTCCCCGCACCGCGGCCACGGTCCAGCCCACACCCCCAACCCGGGCTCTGTCCACAGCCCCTCCCCAAGGACGCGGTGGGCAACTGCCTGACGGCGCCCACACCACGGGGCACCCAGAGCCGGGCTCCCACCTGTGGGGGCCAAGAGGCTTCCCCATGTCCCCAGGCCACAGCCCATCAGAACTTTAGAAATCATGGTAAAACTAGCTGCCAGAAACATGAAAAGCAGACAAACGAGACTCAGGCCCAGACTCCTCGCTGCTACATTCAACGAGCATTGAGCGTGTGAGCCCAGCAACCCCTGAGCCCCCGCCGTCCGGCCAGCCTCCCCTGGGGTTTCGGCTGCATCCTCGAAGGGACAGAGCTGAGACGCCGTGCCCCCATCCTCATGAGGGCCCCGTCAGAGCTCGTGAGGCAGCGTCCACAGTGAGCAGCGGCACGTGAGCCATCTGGGCGACAGGACAGTCCCTCCCCATGGCCCCCCCCCCCCCACGTCCAGAGCGGCGCCCACAGCGCAGAGAGCCTGCGGCTTCGCAGGAGCTTCACGCATCTAATGACCCCAGAGACCCAGAGGCTCCAGCGCCACACACCCCTTCTCCGGGCCTGTGCCGCCCCGCGCCTGCCTCCACCACCCTCTGCCCTCACCCAGGAGGCAGACAACGTGGCTGAGGACAGGCTCCAAGGAGAACGGCAGCCACCGAGGGACAGGGACGCTTCGCCAGGAGAAGGGCCGCGCCAGCTCAGGCTGCAGCAGGGGGCGAGTGACCGCGCTCTCTCCTGACCTGACTTTGCTGACCCAACTTCAAATGTGCTGCTTCTACGTCGGGGAGAAAGTCACTCTAACTGAAGAACAGCGGAGGGAGGGGAGCGGCAGAGAGATGTGCACAGCTCCCGGCCACCAGACAACCTCTCGGGAGCAGCCCAAGCTCACTGAAGGCTGCACCCTCACGGCAACAGGGCCGGGAGGCCACGAGGACCCCATCCAACCCACCCTCCCACCCAGGACAGAGCACGGCATTCCCCAAAGTGCCAGTGGCACGCCTGGCCATACGCGGAGCAGCCCGCAGGGCCGAGACCACACAGCCGGCTGGCCTGGGGCCCTCAGACAGGAGGGGGCAGAGGCTCAGAGCATCCACACCTCTGTTCTGGGGTCTATTAGCAGATACCAAAAAAGGCAACCTTTGTAGCGTAAACATGCTGCAAGATACGCAAAACTAAACCAACTATCTGCCTCTTGCTGAGAGCAGATGGCGATCTCAAGATCAGTCTATGAACTACCCTCTTCAGCTGGAAACAACGTTTCAAACCACGGAAACTACAGAAGCGCTCACAGTCCCTGCCAGCACCCCCAGCCTTCTCACAGCCGACCCTCCCCTCGACTGAGAAAGGGGGCCCCTCCTCCTCTGAGATCTCAGAGCCCCTTCTGCAGCCGGCGCCTGAGCCAGGTCCGAACACCATACTGGCGGCAGCTCTGTCCTGCGGCAGCGGCTGTAAAGAGCATGGGGTTATAGCCCCAGTGACCCGCACTGGGGCCTAGATCCTAAGGCCGCCCCGTGGGCCACAGCCTCAGGAAGAGAGCGGCGGTCGTGAGCTTGGGCCTCCCGGCCGCCCCGGCACCCACACGCTGGTCTGACATCAGCGTCTCTGGAGACGCTGGGCAGCACCAACGGCGAGGCCCGAGTCCACGCACTCTGGCCCAGGTGCACCGCTGACCTCCGCTCTGAGCAGCGAGGGCACGGCGAGGGCCTGTTGCACCTCCGCTCGGCCGCCGGGGCAGCTTCCCCATCAGGCAGCACCTCCGACCCCAGGAGCCCACGCTTCCCAGCCGCGCGGCTGCCCCTCGGGCAGACAGGCGGACAGATGGGCGGACCGGCAACAGGCACGTGGGACTGGACAGAGGGCAGCACCTTGGACTCCTGGATTCTCAATTTATAAAGTCACAACTTTTATTTACTTCAATTTCAGTAAACCTGAAAACCCTGGGGTCTTAAACAAAACCTCTTGATACAAATCCTATATTTTCCAACCCTCAGGCAAAAATGTAAGTGAAGTCAAAGTGAAGTCGCTCAGTCATCTCCTACTCTCTGCGACTCCATGGACTCTAGCACACCAGGCTCCTCCATCCACGGGATTTTCCAGGCAAGGGTACTGGAGTGGGTTGCCATTTCCTTCTCCAAAGGCAAGTGAAACTGTCTTTTAAAAGTTAGACCAACTTATTTGCAAAGAAACACTGTTGGTTTTATCAGAAGTCTTCTCCAGATAAGAGGAATGATGAGTGCTTTCTAGTCACTGTCTGAACTTACTGATTCTATGTACTTTTTTCCTCTTGGACACTTCTAACTTGTAACAAACACCCAGGAAGTGCCTGCTCCTCTAGCACAAGGCGGGATCTTCAGTGGCCGCACCCACCACACCTGATGCCCTGACACAGCCCACTGAACCACTCTCCCTGCCTTTCCCCGGGCCCCGGGCCGGCAGCAGGCACGCCCTCAACACTTGAGCCTGTGTTTTAAGTCCTTCCCAAACCACATGGCACTCACAGGTCTGGTAAGAAATTCACCAAGCCACTTACTCACCTGGTATTCCCAACAAGAGCATTTTTAAATCCGATGAAATAAAAACAGGCAGTAGCAAGAGAGACAAGCAGAAGGGGAAACAGTCCAGAGACGGGGGTAGCCGGCGTGATCCTGACCCACCACTGTGGACCACTCTAGAAAGAGAACCACACGCCGACCAGGCAACGCTCAAAACAGCTGGGAAACCAGAGAGCCCGAGCCCCAAAAGGAAGGAAGCCAGCTTCCCACCAGGGTCCCGTCAGCCCCACTCTCGTCTCCACCATGTCTGCCTCACCCGGACACACTGCCTAAGTCCAGCAAATTAAACATCCCACGAGGGGACTCCCTGCTGATCTGGCGGGGGGTAGTCTGCCTCCCAGTGCAGGGAACGTGGGTTCAGTCGTTGGTCGGGGACCTGGGCCCCCACATGCTGCAGGGCAACGGAGCCCACGTGCTCGGAGCCACACACCACAGAGGATCCCATGCACTGCAGTTAAGATCCGACGCAGCCAAATAAATAAATGCGTTTTTTAACTTCCCACAAGACCCCGAAACGTTGGTGTGAGCACAGCGAGGAAGGGCAGAGAGGGCAACAACTCCTGGGGCACCTGAGTCAGGGCTGCGGCCGGGGCAGGCTCGGCCCTGGGCCCGGAGGAAACCAGACACACACACGCCCCCGTCTCAGACTTGAGTCTCTGACAACATCCATGCTCCCGCCAAATGGAGCGGGAACAAGGTCCCCATCAGAGGAGCCGTCAAGGCCAGGCAGACGGCACGCAGTGAGCCCTCACAGACCCTGCGCCCCCTTGCAGCGCTCACCTCTGCGGGGGGATGTAGGGCGCGCACACAGGCGGCAGGGCCGTGCAGGGCTCCCGGGGCGTCTTCTTAGCCTTCTTGGCTTTCTTCCTGACCTTGGACGTGGACCTGACCGCTTTGACCGAACTCTCCTTCCGACAGACGCCGTTCTTCATCTCCACGTCCCCGTAAATGTTCAGAGGCCTGCGGGTGCAGCCGGGGGGCGTGTGGACGTCACAGTAAGCGGTCTTCCTGACGGAGAAGGTGGCGGCGCCGCCGGCCAGCTCCTTCACGGGCTCCATCTTCATATAGAGGCCAGCCCGCTGGGCGCACGTCACGTGGAAGGCGGTGTAGCAGTTGGCCTTGTGGCACTGGATGCAGGCGCCCACGCCCTTCTGCTTGCAGAGGTAGCACGTCAGCTTCCAGCGCGCGGGGGGGATGTTCCGCACGCCATCGATGGGCTCGATGAAGACGGTGTTGGCGAAGCCCACCTCGGGGATCCACAGGGCGCACACCACGTGGCCCCAGCGGTCATCGTCCGTCTTCTTGAAGGCGCCGCCCTTGTTGGGGCAGAGCACGCAGTCGGCCGGCCGGGCCCGGGACTGCAGGCAGTGGCGGCACAGCCACTGGCCCTCGGGGATGTAGGGCACGCCGTAGCACTCCTGGTGCACAGCCAGGTTGCACATGTCGCAGAAGAGGATGGCGTTGCTGTTCTGGCACTCGCCGTCCATGCACACGCAGCACACGGCGTCCTCGTCGATCAGGCACTGCTGCTCCCCCTGCTTCTGCTTCTCGCAGTGCGAGGCCTTCTCGAAGCGGTCCATGAGGAACTCGAACACGCTCTGCGACACGGCCGAGACACAGTCGCCCCTGCGCTTCTCGTTGACGATCTCCAGCCAGGCATAGTCCTCCTCGTCCATGTCGTACTCCACCTCCTTGTCCAGCTCCTCAGCCGACTTCTCCACGAACTTGTAGTACACGGGGGGCCGCCGCGGCGCCGACGGGGGGCTGTACTCCACCACCCGCACCTTGGGCTCGGGGAGGGCGCTGGCGGAGGCAGGCGCACCATGGGCGCTGGGCGGGGCGTCGCCCTTCTTCCTGACCCGGTTGTTTTTGTGCCGCTTAGTTCTCAGGCACACGGGCGGCCGCTCGCTGTTCTCCTTGTTGCTGTTGCACTCGCTCATCTCCTGGGCGGTGAGGTCATCCTCCAGGATGATCTCCAGGGGGTCGAAGATGCTGATCCTGTGCAGGCGCCCCTCGATCTCGATCTCCACCATCCTCTGGGCTTGCGCGTAGGTCAGGGTCTCTCGAGTGGGGGAGGGCTTGGTGCTGCCGGGGGAGGAAGGGTGCCTCGCTGCAGCGCGATGACCGCGGCCTTTCCTCCTCATTTGGCACTGACTCCCTGAAACAGACAGAGAACACGTGAGCACCACGCAGAAGGCGTGAGAGGCGAAAACCACCAACACACGTGGGCAGAACTAACCAAATTGCACTAAATCAAAACAGAACTCCCAGCCAGCCTGCTCTAAGGTTTCCAAAATCACTCATCCTGGACTCCCGAAGATATCTCAACAACCATCAACGACCATTGCCACCAGGCCACTGCCCCCCCAGGGACTCCCAGGACCAGAGGAGAAGGCAGGTGGTCAGGAGGGCCCCCAGAGGCACATGCAGGAACATGTCCTCCAGAATGCTGACGCCTACTGCTCACTGATCACCTTGGAACCACACCCCTCACAAGTCGGGGGTCGCAGTCCCAAGCCCAGGATAGTACGTGCACAGACCTGCACACCCGTAGGCTCTGGCCACTGTCTGACCCCCGCTGCTACCCAGGAGAGAGCCCTCAGCCCGTCACTGTCTCCATGAACACACCCTCCACCACCGTGTGGAGGCGCAGGCCACCCAGCTGCACCCGGACCCAAGAGGGCAGCCCCATGCTGGCCTGGGCAGGCTTCACCCCTAGGAGACCCCACCGAGCCTCTGCAGGGCCTCAGAAGTGGCCACCGCACGCCCGCCACCTGCCCTGCCCTTCGGGGACCTTCTCAGCTGCTGGCTTGACCACAGTGCTGGGCCGTCGTCCTGTCACAGCGAGGGCAACCCGGAGACCCCCTCGCCGCCCAGAGTGCCCCTCCTCTGTACCAGGCGCAGCACAGGCTCAGGCGCCTTAAGCCTCGGCCAAGGAGACTTTCGGGCATTTGCTCCTGTCAGACGTCTGCCATCGACCACCGGCAAGTTCTATTTCCAGTCTCCCTCTCCCGACAGTCCCTGACTCTGGTCCACCACCCGCCAATCAGGATGACACCTTAAGAACTGATGACAATGCCCCCTCCTCCCTGCAAGCAACCACACACCACTGCCTGGAAGCAGAGTGATGTTGGCGAGACTGGCTGACACACAAGCCAGGTGGAGCCCAAGGCCCACCGCTGGACAAGGCCCTGGGGAGCTGACCCAGGAAAAGCCGTCATACAGTGGCCTACGCTGTCACACCTGAAAGGAAATTGCAGCAGACCCAAATTGCACTCCTTAAGACAAGTCCTTCTAACTGAGGTTTTCCTTCTCTTTTGTCAAACAGAAATGTTTATCTGAAATCTGACAAGAATGCCCTACAAAGGGGAGCATGAGAGCCACCATGGACAAACCAACCCTAACCCACCTGCATCTCCGCGTCCCAGGGGCCCACATAGCCCTGGATTCCTGCAGTGCAGTCAGCCAAGCTGCCCCCCGGCTGGCCCTGGCCCTGCCATCCCTTCTGGGGAAGAGGGGGACAGTCCCCCTGCTGTCAGCACCACAGCCTGCAAGGAAGGCCCCCAGTGCAGTCGGGACACAGCGCGCAGCCTCAGGGGTCCTTCAGGGTGGGGCAGAAGCCACAGCTGGTTACTCAGCAGATGAAAGGCAAACGTGTAATTTTCTCCTCCAGAGCACAGTACCAACAGCACTAACCATAACCAGCTCTTCAAAACCCATATGCTCCTGAAGGGACTGAGGCTTTGTGTCTGGCCACTTGCTACAAGAAGGACAGCACTTACTGGTCACGGCAGCTCTGCAATCTGAAAGCTCCATGGTGACAGGGACAGAAGGCGCTGGTCACTCTGCAGACCACCTCACCAGCCCACCACTCCCCTACACCCCAGGCTCCAAACCGTCAACCTCTGTCCACCTGGAGCTTCCGTGCAGGACAAAGGTTCCCACGTGGAGACCATCGGCAGCCCCTCCAGACCCTTCTGATAAATGCCCCTTGAAAAGCCGTGCGGCCACGAGAGAGGAACGCGGCACCCAGGGCCGGTTCACCTTCCCCATCACCGCCTTTCCCGCCTGGCCCTGGGACAGTCACGAACACCCTCGCGCAGGGGCGGCACACGGCGCCTACCCCCGCGACCCTTCCCGGGCGGTGGGCGGCTCCTCCAGCGGGGCCCGGCCGCAGCGCGTGCCCCGTAAATTACAACCAGGTCACTTCTTCCTGGGGGCCCCGGAGGCCGCCCGCTGCGGGAGGGGGCGGCCGCCCAAGTCCGCGCGGCCCTGGAACAGGAAGTTTCCCGTCCAGGCTCAACAAGCCCAGCGCGTCCGTTACATAACGCGACCCTCGGGCAAACGCTCGGCCGGGGAAGCCGAGACCTCGGGGCCGCCCCCTTCTCGCAGGGCGGCCGGGCGGGAGGCGCGGCGGGCAGGGCGGCCCCGCCGCCTCCACAGCTCGGCCTCCCTCCCCGTCCAACCTCCTGCCCGCCGGCCTCGCCTCCCTCCCTGTCGAGTTCCCAAGCCGCCCGGGCTCCCTCCCCGGCCCGGCCTCCCTCCCAGGCCTCCCCGCCTCGCCAGGCCGGCCTCCCGACCGGACCTCCGAGCCTCCCCGCCTCGCCAGGCCGGCCTCCCGACCGGACCTCCGGGCCTCCCCGCCTCGCCAGGCCGGCCTCCCGACCGGACCTCCGGGCCTCCCCGCCTCGCCAGGCCGGCCTCCCGACCGGACCTCCGGGCCTCCCCGCCTCGCCAGGCCGGCCTCCCGACCGGACCTCCGGGCCTCCCCGCCTCGCCAGGCCGGCCTCCCGACCGGACCTCCGGGNGCAGCGGCGGCGGCGCGACGGGGCGCTGGCGCGGGGCTGCTCGGACGCCAGGGCCGGCTCGCTCGCCCGCTCGCTCCCCAGCGAAGCAAACAATGCGGCGAGCGCTCCGCCCGGCGCGCTGCGTGCGAGACGCGCCCCGCCCGCCGCCGCCATGACGCGCGGCCGCCGCCGGGGGAGGGGACGGAGGGCAGGGCCGCGCGCCGACGCTCGGGCAGGGGGCATCTGAGGGGCGCGGGCTTCGGGGGAGGACCGTCGGGCGGGCGACGGGGACCGCACACGGGTCGGGGGGCATCTGAGGGGCGCGGGCTTCGGGGGAGGGCCGTCGGGCGGGCGACGGGGACCGCACCTGGGTCGGGGGGCATCTGAGGGGCGCGGGCTTCAGGGGAGGGCCGTCGGGCGGGCGACGGGGACCGCACACGGGTCGGGGGGCATCTTAGGGGCGCGGGCTTCAGGGGAGGGCCGTTGGGCCGCTGTGGGGCACCCTACATTCCCTCTGGAGGCCATCTGAGGGGCGCGGGGTTCAAGGGAGGGGGGCGCGGACACCGGGCCTGGGGGCATCTGAGGGGGTGCTGGGCGGGGGAGCCTGGGAGGGGAGCGGGAAGGGGATGAAGGGGGCCGGTCCAGGAGTCGGGAGCACTGGATGGGGCGGCCCCTCTGAGTGTTGGGGGAACCTTGGGGTGGTGGGTGCCTGACGGGGGCGGGGCGAGGCACAGGACGGAGGGAACCCGGTGAGCGCCCGATGGACACGGGCCGAGAGCCACGGGCAGCCGGGAGGGCCGTGTGCTGGACGGCCGGGCCTCGGTGGAGACCAGGGGCCACGGGTACTGGCAGGGGCAAGGAGCCGGGGAGCCCTGAGGAACTGGAGTGGGGGTGTGGGGCGCCTGGGATGGGAACACCCTCTGTGGGATCCAGGTAGGGCCTGAGCAGCGCTAGCTCAGAGGCCTGAGGGTTAGCCAGTTAGTCCCCACTGGCAGCTGCCACTGTGGCCTTGGCTTGGACTCCAAAATTCAGTGGTTTCACGACAGTTTTCATCTCCAGAATGAGTCCCCAAGTGTTTGGGGAGGGGGAAGAGGCCTGGCTGTTTCCCTGAGGATTTGGCCATGAAGGAGCCCAGCACTGCCAGGGGGTGAAGCAGTTAATAGCCCCCCAGTCTGTGGCAGCCAGGGAGACCCCCGTGTAAGAGAAGAAACGCTCCCAGGGCAGAGCCTGGGTTCTTCAGAGCCCCAGGAGACCTTCTTCCACGTGGGCAGGCAGGGCAGGGACCACTGCTTAGGTTCTTGCAGCAAACACTTTATTGGCAGTAGGCTGGCCCTGTCCACCCACGCGTGCTGGTGGGGGCCTTTTGCTGACCAGAATTTGTGCACCCAGTGTGCAGATTGAAAAGTGAAAGCTTGGTGGGTGGCTAAGGACTGCGGGGAAGGTCACCCACCCAGTGATCAAGTTCCTAAGCAAACTCCAACCTCCAGACACGTCCTTGGGCCAAGGTGAGGCAGACCCAGCAGTGGGCCCCGATTACATTTGCACCAGATGCAGGAGCCGCGCCCACGTCCTCCTCTCACAAATGTCCGCTGTCTGGGTCCAGATGTGTGGGAGCAGCAGAGAATAAGCACCCTTGTCCACCCTGGGCAAGCCAGGTGCCAACAGGAAGCTGGAGACAACCTTGTGAAAGAACAGAGGAAACAGAGCCCGGGAGGACGGCTTCTCCACCACCAGAGTGACACCAGGAGTGAAGGCATGTCCTAGCGGCCTTCTGGAATTCCAAGGATGAAGAGACTAACTCAAAAACCTTCAGTGGGGAAGGGTCTTCTTTAATCAGGTGGAACCTGATTATCAGTTGGCAAAGGGGTGAACCTGTCAACATTCTCAGAGAACTGAACCTAAAATTCTGTACACAGTGAAACTAGCATTCAAGTGAGACAGCAAAATAAAGGTGTCTTCACGCCTATAAGCATCCACACACCAAGTCTCTCAAAAAGGACTGAAAGATATGCCCTAGAAAATAAAAACTGAAACCAAGGGTAAAACCTTGATGCCACAAAGAAACCAGCTTAGACTGTTCAGGGAGACTCAAACAACGACTTGAGAGAAAGTCCCATGTGAGACCGGGACTATGGGAAGAGGACGGAGGAGCAGGAAGGAGGCCCAAACGACGGCTCTTGTATCAAAGCCCTGAGTGCTAACTGGAAGGACTGATGCTGAAGCGGAAGCTCTGATACTTCGGCCACCTGATTCGAAGAGGGACTCATTGGAAAAGACCCTGATGCTGGGAAAGAATGAGGGCAAAAGGATAAGGGGGTGACAGATGGTTGGAGGGCATCACTGACTCAATGGACATGAGTTTAAGCAAACTCCAGGAGACAGTGAAGGACAGGGAAGCCTGGCATGCTGCAGTCCATGGGACCAAAAAGAGTCAGACATGACTTAGCAACTGAACAACAACAAGAAAATTTTAGAATCAAAAGGAAAAAAGTCTAAAATTCCAAAGTTTCCGTGAGAAAAATGGAAATAGGACTTGCAGATTTCAAAACAGCCAGGAGAAAACTGAAGTGAAAAATTGTGCCAACAAAAAGCAGAAAAGAGAAAAGAGATGATAAATGAGGAACACAAAATTAGATGACAGGAATAAATTCAAACATCTGAGTAATCAGAGACATGATGGAATTAAAATCATCTATTAAAACACAGAGACTCTAATTAGAATGTTGACACAGTTAAATACTAATTATGAGAAACACACCCCAAAAACGTCACCAAGATTGAAAATAAAAGGGTGGAAAACATGTATCTTGCAACTTTTCTTCCTCAGAAGACCATAAGGAGAATGAAGAACTGAAAACTAGAAGATATTTGTGACACAAACACCTTGCAATCCTTCACAAACACCTTCATATCCACAATAAAGAACCCTCCAAATCCATTAGAAAACACAAGCCAAAAGAATGATGGGCATGTCTATCATCAGTCTCAGAGAAGATCATGGAAAAACCTCACTGGTGATTTTGGAAATACAAACTAAAACCACACCAAATGAACACAAACCCTGCTGGCCAGAACTCCAGGTGACACAATTATCTTGTAAACGATGTGGCATTCTTCAAAGAAACTGGGTGTGTGCGTTCAGCTAGCCATTGCCGCATAACAAACCACCCTCATACTAGGCAGCTTCAAACAACAACAATCACTCCTTTCACTCAGGAATCTGCTACTTGTGAGAAATATCAGCAGCACTGCTCCTTGCTGCACCCCTGGTGCCTCCTGGAACATCCAGCACCTGTGTGCCGGACAAGCTGGCTCCTGCTGTGGGCTGACCGCCTGGGGGAATGCCCTCAGGGGAGGGTGGCCAGGTCCCAAGAGCAAGAGTCCCAAGAGAACCAGGTGGCCCCGTATCACTTTTCAGACGTCACGTAGCATCCCTTTTCCACAAAGCTGACCCGGTTCGGTAGATAGGGGGACAACGACTCCTACTTCCTGTGAAAATCAGTATCAGGGTCACATTTTAAGCAGAGCATGTGGCAGGGAGAAGTGACTGTGGCGTTTGGGAAAATGCAAGCTGCCAGGGTATGCACACCTGTTCCCAGCGCTAGGGTTCAGTCAACAGATACTCCTGGGGACGTTCCATGCCTGGCCGCATGCCAGAGAAACCTGCACCAACCCATCAGGCGACCGGGCAACATTTTCAAAGCAGCACTACTTTTAAGAGCAAAAATACTGCAAAGTGAAAGTGTTAGTCGCTCAGTCGTGTCCAGCTCCTTGCGACTCCATGGACTGTAGCCCATCAGGCTCCTCTGTCCATGAAATTCTCCAGGCAAGAGTACTGGAGCGGGTTGCCATTCTCTTCTCCAGGGGATCTTCCCAACCTAGGGATCAAACCCAGGTCTCCTGTGTCTGCTGCATTGCAGGCGCATTCCTTACTGCTGGGCCACCACGAAAGCCCAGGCCATCAGGGAAGCTCCCTATTAGACACATCAGGCTTGGCTCAGCTCGGGCTATATCCCTGACCCTCCGCTCCACAGCCCTCCCTCCCCAGCCCACCCCATTCTATCTCTGCTGAAAGCTTAGGCCTGACAAAGGCGAGGAGCCCGTATCGGTGTTACTCTGTAATGTTCTATCGACATTTTTTGGCAGGAGTAAGATTAAAATCCTTCTTCTTGATCTACCTCTAACCTTTCATTTAGTAGACTGTGCTTTTGCAAACAAAATATTCTTTAAATGATATTTTCTTACTTTGGAATTCAGGGAAAATCGT